TCAACGCCGGCATTATTATAAATAATGTCCGTTGGTATGTCTCCAGACTTAAAATGCTTCATTCAAACTCCTACATTTTTACTGATATCGTGCGCGTAAAAGTAATTCTTCAAACATATCCAAATACGTCGAAATTATTTTCGCCGTTACACAACAATTTTACGGATAGGTTTTCAATCAATATAACCCTCAAAAAAATTGTTCAGTCCGTATGGCTTTATTCTTTTAGGTAATGGCCAATTTACTTAACAAGACCGATACGCTTACGTTGCCAAATTTTGTGCGATAATCAAATTTTCAGCAAATTTAAAGAACTTAAAAAATAGACGGAAGAAAAGTTTAACGCGTAATGTACGCGTCGTATAATCCAAGATATGAGCCAAGCTCATCACGATGGTAGGAAAATTTAACTGTCGTGATTTTGACAATTTAAACACCTTTACAGTACGTAAAAATTCCTTATGCTAACTTAGATAAAGAAAATAGATTATAGAATTAGGTTGAATGCCTGTATATATAGATGGTAACCACTATTATTATCAATATTATTAATATTATTATTATTATTATTATTATTATTATTATTATTATTATTATTATTATTATAAGTTTTATAGTAATACTCAAATTGAATATTCCATTGATCTGAATTGCATCTCCTAGCGACCTGAATAGCCTCCCCTAGTGACCAGAACTGCATTCTCTAGCGACCAGCTTTGTGCAATTCGACTTGCAATGGAAGCAGCAACTACATTGCATGTCTTTTCTCGAGCTGAATTGTCTTGCATCTTGTACAGCTTGATTGGATATGAATTTCAACACCTTTACCTTTAATAAGACTTTGCAGTTTACCTTCAGTAAGACTTTGACTCATAACAGCAACAAAAAGATAAGAAATCTTTACGAAAATTGCGCTTGGAATTCGTTTGCAACATTATTATTAATCGCACTCCACTGATTTTCATTGTTACTTTTTTAATTAAGCGCGTGTGCATTCATTTTGTAAAATTTACTTAGAATACGTTTAAATTAGAGTCATTGCTCCTGCTACGTTCCTCTTGGGCTTATTGCTACTGTTACGTTTAAGGGTTAGCCGTTAAATCCTTATAGAGGCAACCTAACATGTCTCTCACTTAACTTGACTGCATAATAAAACTTATTATTTAAACTTCACAAGAATATATGTATCCAAACTGAAGCAATTTTTTTCAAATTTACTCAAAATATATCAATTAACTGAATAATGCACGTGTCTCATCATTTGTAATACTCATTTCACCGACGTTATAGGCTGGTACTGAATAATGCACGGCTGAGAACTGCACAGGCATTCAGCGTGTGAAATTGTGCGACGTTCCGCTCTCTGAACGCTTTTGTGAGCCATCAAACGATCTTTGCGAAGCTTTAGCTGCACTGAGGATGAACTGCACTGATGCGGCTGGCACACTTAGTGTACATCGCTGCCGAGATGAATTAAAGCGATAAGGTTTTATCCCACTGTACTCATTTTACGGGACGATTTGCACAGATAAGGCTTTGTCACGCTGTACTCTTCGTTACGGGATGCATTACACTGATAAGGCTTTATCCCGCTGTACTCTTCGTTACGGGATGCATTACACTGATAAGGCTTTATCCCACTGTACTCTTCGTTACGGATACATTACACTGATAAGGCTTTATCCCGCTGTACTCTTCGTTACGGGATGCATTACACTGATAAGGCTTTATCCCACTGTACTCTTCGTTACGGATACATTACACTGATAAGGCTTTATCCCGCTGTACTCTTCGTTACGGGATGCATTACACTGATAAGGCTTTATCCCACTGTACTCTTCGTTACGGATACATTACACTGATAAGGCTTTATCCCGCTGTTTTTTTTTTTCGTTACGGGATGAACTACACTGAAAATGCTTTATCTCCAAGGGACACTTTATTGCCTTGCTGAATTACCGCAAATAAAATGAGTAAATTTTACACAGGAAATTTCTGATGAATTTTCAATGCAATGAGGAAAAAGGGCAGTGATATTAAAGAAAACTTTTAAGAGTCGCAAATAAATTGCGCTCGCTCTCAAAAGTTAAGGTGAATCTGAGNAGTCGCAAATAAATTGCGCTCGCTCTTAAAAGTTAAAATGAATAGGAACAGGAAATGTGGTTGCGTGGCCTAGCTTCCTAGAATTTCGAGGGATTGAACGGAGATCAATTTTTTAGAGAAAATCTATGCTAGTTCTTTTATGGAATCATTTTAACTTTATAACGTCGTACAACAATTAGAAGCTGCAAAACATTCAAAATTTTGGGCTCTAATTTAAGGCAATGATTGTTCTGAAATGACATACAATATTCATGAGCAAGACGGAACACATGGCAGGGACTTGATAGTTTTTAAATTTGAATTTAATATTATAATAAATAATGCGTAAGAATATCTTTGTTAAGCACGAATAAAAATATATTTCATAAACGGAAAATTTGTAATTTACTTTTTTGACATNAATAAATAAAAATGATAATCATTTCAGGTCGATAAGAAAGTAGAAAAAATTCTTGCTTATTTTTTTTCAAGTAAAGGGTTAACGAAATCGAAGACACACTCTTTTTAAAAATATTCTCGTGAAAAGCCTGTTACTTGAAATACAAAACAATAACTAATGCATGTTATTGCAGAGGTGATAAAAACATCATTAAATTTATGGACTGTGCTTCTCATATGTAATTATTAAATTATTATTATGAGTTACACGAAAGCTTAAGCCGCGAACCTAGGCTTCTGGCATATTTATTCATTGCAAATAAAACTCTAGGCTTAAATAAATCGGGAAATTCTTCCTGCATTGAAAAGTTTCTCGAACATTTTCCGAGAATTGACATTTTATATGACATCGACGAGAAATCTGATTGACTTTGACATCAAGTTTCTCGTTACCTGAAAATTTTTGTGATATAAATGTTATTATAGCCTATTATATATAGTCAAATGTCAATCAAATTGACATTTTTCAATCAATTCAAATTGACATGTCAATCAAATTGACATTTTTCAATCAATTCAAATTGACATGTCAATCAAATTGACATTTTTACGAGAAAATCGACGTCTAATTAAGAAGTCGTGGATTGGTCTAGTTTTCCAGTTTATGCAAATTTTTATAAATTCGCGAACTTTGCCTAGTTGCCAAACTCTGTACTACGGAAATATGCAAAGATGTTCTCAATAATTGATTTTTAAAGATGAATGAGTTATTCAAATTCTAGAATCTTGCAAAAAATTTCATTGAATGTCTTAGCAGTTAATACAGGTAGGTTACCATGGGCATCACTTAACTGCTTCTATGTTAACAGATTACTACATAAACTTTTAATTCCCAGATTACTTATTCTGGGATTCCTTATTGCAGGATTCTATATTCTATCACTCCATATTCTAGAATATTTTATAACAGCATTCCTTTTCCTTATTCTGACTCCCTGATCCTGGAATACATTATTCAAGCATTCCTTGTTCCATAATTCTTTCTTTATGCCAGTATTATACTTATTCCAGCATATTACTTATTACAGCATTCCTCTTTCCAGGTTTCCTCACTCCAGCATTCTTTTTTCCAGCATTCTTCATTTCAGCCTCCTTAATTTAATCCAGCATTCCTCATTGCATTCTTCAAGATTCCAGGATTCATCATTTCAGCATTACTCATTTCAACCTGCCTTAATCCAGCATTTTTCATTCCATCCTTCAATATTCCAGGATTCCCGATTCCAGGATTCCTTATTCCATGACTCCTCACTCCAGCATTCCTTTTTCCAGCATTCTTCATTTCAGCCTCCTTAATTTAATCCAGAAATCCTCGTTCCATCCTTCAATATTCCAGGATTCCTCATTTCAGGATTCCTCATTCCAGGATTTCTTATTCCAGGATTCCTTATTCCAGATTCCCGGACAGCTGACATTAGCAGCCGCCCGTCAGCTCGACATTTACAGGAGCGAACAACATGTCGCGTTCACGCGGAGCTTAACTTCGTGCAATATTTTTGTTTGTAACCTGAATAAATCAAAATAAAATCAGGATATTATTCTAAACTGTTCATGATTATTCTAGACTGTTCATGAGCTTTTTGTAGCCCATCGTTACGCGTATAAGTGTTTCGCAAGCAAGTAAATGGCGTGATTCAACATGTGTTTAACAATGTTGTATGAAGTTTTATTTAGAAATTTGCTTCTATTAAAGTGGATGTGCTGTTTAAAGGCCATATGTGATATCAGTATATGTCTGCCAAGTAACATTTCTTATAGGTCGTCTGTGTCTATTAATAGTCATAATCAATTTATTACGTGTCACTATGCCCTGAACTCTCATATTAACTTTAGGATATTTACAGAATCTTCCTAAATTATTTAAGCATTCCTCATTCAAGCATACCTTGTTCCAGAAATATTTTTTTATGCCAGTATTATACTTATTCCAGCATATTCCTTATTACAGCATTCCTCTTTCGAGGATTCCTCACTCCAGCCTTCCTTATTCCAGAATTCCTCATTCCATCCTTCAAGATTCCAGGATTCCTCATTTAAGCCTCCCATAATCCAGAATTCCTCATTCCATCCTTCAATATTCCAGCATTCCTCATTCCAGGATTTCTTATTCTGGGATTCCTTATTCCAGATTCCCGGACAGCTGACATTAGCAGCCGCCCGTCAGCTCGACATGTACAGGAGCGAACAACATGTCGCGTTCACGAAGGCTTGGCTTCGTGCAATATTTTTCTTTGCAACCTCAATAAATCAAAATAAAATCAGGATATTATTCTAAACTGTTCATGATAGAGCTTTTTGTAGCTCATCGTTACGCGAGTTAATGTTTTGCAAGCAAGATATTGTGTGAATGTGTTTAGCAATGCTGTATGAACTTTTATTTAGAAATTTGTTTGTATTAAGTGGATGTGCTGTTTAAAGGCCATATATGATAACAGTATATGTCTGCCAAGTAACATTTCTTATAGGTCGTCTGTGGTCATTTATAATCGTAATCAATTTATTACGTCCCACTATGCCTTGAACTCTCATATTAACTTTGACATATTAACAGAATTTTCCGACTTTTATATAAGTTCGGAAGAATTTATAACACAAATTATATTTTTAAAAATTTAGTTTGGTAAACTTTAGGGTGAATAAACCAGTTACTAATAAATCCTATTTTAAACTGGCTTTAAGTCATTTGCTCAAAGGTATAGCCAGTAGCAAAACAATTCTTTTCGTAATCCAAAGAACGGAATCACGCTGCTCAGAGATTCACGAACTCCTCTTAAACAATTTACGCAGATTAAGACAGAGTTAAGGCGCGCGCCTGAAATGGCGTGCGTTCTGAGCTTCAAAGGATGGACATCTGAAATGTATTGCGCCTTGAACAATTTGAACGCCTTGGACGCCTTGGACGCCTTGGTCGCCTTGGACGCCTTGGACGCCTTGAACGCCTTGAACGCCTTGAATGATTTGGACGCCTTGAACGCCTCGGACGCCTTGAACGCCTTGGACGCCTTGAACGCCTTGGACGCCTTGGACGCCTTGGACGCCTTGAATGATTTGGACGCATTGAACGCCTTGGACGCCTTGAACGCCTTGAACGCCTTGGACGCCATGAGCGCCTTGGACGCCTTGAACACCTTGGACGCCTTGAACGCCTTGGACGCCTTGAACGCCTTGACGCCTAAATATAATATGGGATAATCAAGGTGAAGGATATTCCAGTGCATGCAGCCCTGACGCTGCACACGCAGCTTACGTGCTCTGCTTAGAAAAAAAGCGCGAAGAAGCAAAAAAAATTTCACTTTTCACGCACGTTGCTATTTCTGCCTGAAATAATGAGTGCATGAGCATGAGGCATGAGACTACGACCTTATACACACATAAATATAGTCGCTACGAGTAACATATGACACATTTAAGCGTAAAAACTTATTAATGAATTTGACCCCCAGCGAAAATCTAATGCTTGGGGTGTTTTGAGTATTGCGTTCGAGTCACCATATATCCCGCGTAGTGTTCACGCTCGCGAGAATTGCGTAGCATTTAATATTTGATGTTCGTTTAAAAAATCTACGGAGCCTAGCATTCCCGTTAAAGCTTCACCAACTGATTTCAATAACTAAAATGACGGTGGTAAATGTTCCGTCAGACGAAAAAAATACAAGCAAATTCTCCGGTAAGGCAGATTTTCCGACTCGATGCACCGAGCAGGTAAGGCAAGATTGCTTTCCCTCTCGCCATCATGCCAATCTCTGCTTATCCGCATGCATTCATTATAGCATCACGGCTGATAGAATAGAATAGAATAGAAGTGTCGGCACTGAAGAAATAGGCCGATTCTTGACTTTTTCATAATCGAAAAGCAATAACTTGCTTGGAATTAAACACAGATGGCAAAAAATTCCCTTTACACGACTTACAGCTTTTTATCCTATTGTGCGTCCTTCTTGCCTGTATACATATTAATGATATAAAGGATAAGGATATTGAGGATAAGTATATTAGAGCTAAGGATATTACAGGATAATGATATTATGGATAAGGGTATTAAGGATAAGCATAGTAAGGATAAGGCTATTAAAGATATGATTTGCTACCGCTCTCTTCCTCTCATTTATGAACGTCTACCTTGTGAGGTATCTTCATTGTGAGTTAAACAGCATATCTAACTCACTTTGCATAATAAATAACGTTTTTAACAGCATATTTAACAACTCTTCAAAACATATGTTAATGCATTTTGCTAAGGTAACCAATGAATTAAACATTGTCCTAAAATTGCTCAATATAACATAGAAAAATCAGAAATAATTCTAATTACTTCACATCAAAATTCCAATGAACGGCGAAAATAATGAAGATGATCTATTGAACGAATTTTCTTCATGAATAGTCTTCGAATTATAGAACATTCAAAATTTGAAGCTTGTTTTCCCATTTATTCTGACTGTATCTCCATAAAAATTGATTGAAAACTTATTTATAGTACTAACAAACAAGCTAGTATTCTCCAAAATAATGATATAAAAGAACATTCAGCTGGAAGTCTAGAATTTTTTCGTTCGAAAATTAATAATTTAAATAATATCAATCAAATTCTGAAATAACTCCGCTCTAGCGCAGGTATCGCTAAAAAAATTATAGAGAATTGAATGGTCTATTAAAATTTTTTTACCGGTGCCCAGAGGCTTTCAAACGTTTTTTCAATGTGCATTAGTTATTACCAAACATATTCTGAAGTAAAATTTTGTTGTCGTAGCAAAATTTTCTAATAGAGGCACGATTGCTCCCAAAAATATTTTACCAAAATGGTGATGGGAGCATTGCCTCTAAATGTCGAAATAAAGGAAGCTTCGCACCTTATCAGAGGACTTCTAAAACTTTTCAGGGAATGGGAAATTAGGAAATAAATATAACCACTATGCAATAAATTTTGCGATCATGACGACGAATGATTGAATGAAATGAATGTGTTCACTGTATTTTTTGTTCAATTGGTGCAGTTTAAAGCATACCTACATAATTATGAACCAGTTCAATATGAACTTATATGTTACATTAATAGGTTTCTGGCCAAAGCCACAATGTGTGTTCTCGATGCAACTGAGACCATCCGAACATCTAATCCTAATTAATGTCCTTCGCAATAAAATCATGGACAGATGACCATCGATTTGATGGACAGATGGCCTCTATAATGATGGACAGATGACCTCTGTAATAATGGACAGATGACCTCTGTAATGATAGACAGATGGTCTCTGTAATGATGGACAGATGGCCTCTATAATGATGGACAGATGGCCTCTGTAATGATAGACAGATGGCCTCTGTAATGATGGACAGATGGCCTCTTTAATGATGGACAGATGACCTCTGTAATGATAGACAGATGGCATCTGTAATGATGGACAGATGACCACTGTAATGATAGACAGATGGCCTCTGTAATGATGGACAGATGGCCTCTATAATGATGGACAGATGGCCTCTGTAATGATAGACAGATGGCCTCTATAATGATGGACAGATGGCCTCTATAATGATGGACAGATGGCCTCTGTAATGATGGACAGATGACCTCTGTAATGATGGACAGATGACCTCTGTAATGATGGACAGATGACCTCTGTAATGATGGACAGACGACCTCTGTAATGATGGACAGACGACCTCTGTAATGATGGACAGACGACCTCTGTAATGATGGACAGATGACCTCTGTAATGATGGACAGATGACCTCTGTAATGGACAGACGACCTCTGTAATGATGGACAGATGACCTCTGCAATGATGGACAGACGACCTCTGACTGCAGCATTCCGAGCTGCGCAGGCTGCAATGAGAAAATTGAAGGATTTTTTGCCCAGACAGCGGGGCGTTTTTTGCCTGGTGTTGGTAATCTAAACCCAGAATGAACGAGCGTAGCAGCCATTTGTCCACTATATGGGCAATAATGCGTCAATTTTTGGACAATGCGACTCATTTATTTGTCTATGTGCTGTCTATCTATTTTCCACCATACCTGCTGACCGAAATTCACCGCCTAATCCTCTTGTTTCGTCTCTCTTCCCTGAAGATAGTTAAGTTGTATTCTCTTCAAACATAAATCTGTTTAGTTTGATTTAATTATTATAAATAACTTGATATGTTATTATAAATTGATATAATTTGTTATAATTTGATATATATATTGCCTGATATCAGGCTTGTATGCTTAACGCAGCGCATAACGCTAACGTTGCAAAATCGGAGTAAATTCCCCATTTAGGGGAATTTGTGAATTCTTGAATAACGAGAATTACCGCCAGTAAAAAAAGATTTACCTTTTGTCTACGGATAAAAATTGATCGACTCCAGTTAGAGCAGGTATTTTAAGCTAAAGGCCCACTCCACACAAGCTTAAGCTATGAATGCATATTAATACATATTTAAATTTCGGGCCATGAAATTGCACGATTTTTCACCCAGTTCTGTCCCTCGAAAAAATGCTAATTATTTAGCCTGCTTCTGATTTAAGGGATAAAATGCCGAGAGATTAGGGAAAAAAGTCATTAGTGGAGCCAGAATAGATGAACTTTCAGATTATTTTGCGGATGACGTGCGCGGTACAGAATATCTGGGGCTAACTCGCTGACAGCAACAAATTATTTGACGAAAAAGAGCTTTAACCTTCATTTTCGATTACGTAAAACCGACAACAAGCATTCAACATCAACAAAGATAATTTTATACGTTGCTGCGACATTAAAAATTACTATTTAAGCATCTTCAGGAGTCGAAAAGAGTCGACGATTTGGTGATAATCGAATATTGATCGGCGAAAATTGACGTGTCAGGAGCAATCGAAAGCTTAATATTTTTTTCTAGTTATTGTAGAACTATAAACTTATAATAGCTAGTTATATGATTCGTTCTATCAATAAATTAAAAAATGCGTTCCAATTAATTTATGATCAAAAATTTTTTGTAATACCTTGACAATCGTGGAAATCAAACGATAAACAGCACGATAAAATTGTATACTGAAAAATATAGGGAATTCGAAAAAATCTTCCCAATGCAGAATTTTGATTGCTCATCTGCTTCAACTGTAGGTACTAAAAAGGGAGGCAAGGCTCCCAAAATATACGGGCAGCTAAGTTCAAATAAGGAATATCAAGGATGCAACATTACACTTTTAAAGCATGGAGTATTTTTTAATATAATTAGTCTAGTTTGAATGCATCCGCATTTAAACTTTTGGTCTCGGATAAGAAGCTTCATTAAAATTTCACAAATTTACTGTAGATACTAATATCAAAACATAGATGTCAAAAAATCAGAGTTTAGAAAGGAATCGAAGTTCGATCGATGAGCTAGCTACCTTCAAAATTAGATGAACCCACGGTAAATTTGGGTGCTCATTAAAACTGAAAGCGAGGTTAAATTTAGAGTAAAACTTAATTCAAACTGAGACAATTCTACGATTTTTGTCGATAGTCTTAGAAATACTCGTCGAGTCAATCGGAATATAGTTTACCGCTTATTTAATTCAGAAGTGGCTTGATGCAGAACATGTCAAATATCGAACAAAAGAACATGCATCACTGCCATCATGATGCATATTGAGGAGAAGCGTCACAAAGGTAGTAACTTGTCAAGCCATGAAAGATCTTTTTCAAATTTTTCGAATTAACTCAAGAATGAATCTCTTGGTAGTTTCCACAGATCCCTAGAACGTCATGGGACTGGGACGTTCCAAAGTGTGACGGGGATTTGGCGAGAAGTGTTAAATGCTTCGTTTTCGTAAGTGTAAAGCGGCGTTCTTAGATGTTCGTACATTTCTGTTCTGACATATCAGTGGTGTTTAGATATGGTGGCGCCGGTGTCAAAATTAGTTCACTTGTCATCGAACGTCTTTCTTCCACCATGAGATTCTTGTATTTCGTTTTGCAGCGTAACCAACATTTTCCTTCTGCCTCCATATGATCACCGCTCATGACATGACGGCGCATGGCATTGAATTAATTGGAGTTCGGAAAGCCCAGTCGTCGGGTGATGTTAACGGGATCTTTTATATAAACTATTCAGAGTACGACACTACACCTCTTAGTGCACAGGATACGGCGTTCATTGCTTCGTTTTGCGTTGCATCGAGTCATTATTTACTGTACTTGCCACACGGCAGCTATTCGTGTCTCCTAGTAAAGTTGAACTTGTTGTTCAGTAGCAGTCGACGGGTTTTCATCACAATCCGTGGTTTTGGTTCTGCGATCCGTGGCATTTGGATCACCGCATTCATCTACTGCACCACTTAAACAGCGTTCCGGGGCTTCCGAAATTCGGACATTGCGTACAGAGTTGTTTTTCTTTCTTCGGCATCTTCCTACAGTGCATTTTTTTGTGCCTTTTCTGCGCCGCACAGTAGCTTTGTCACCACCACTGCGCAAGGCACAGTTTTCAACTCCAGAGACAACCGATTTATTTTGACCACTATCCGGAATTAGACTTTCGTAATTTGAATCGTTTCGAACTGTGAAAATTGCATTGCGAGGAGAAACATTTCTTTTCCTTCGTTTTGAAATATTACATCCGGCGCCGTAAGTCGCGGACTTTGGTTTCTTGATCTTTCGTAGAACTCTTTTTCTAATTTCTGATGAAGCTCTAATTTTCTCCTGATGCCGCCTGCTTCTTGAAGCCGAGCGACCAACCCTAAGATTAGGCCTCGAAGAAGCCATCATGCCTCCAGAGCTGCCAGCCATCATGCCTTCAGAGCTGCCAGCCATCATGCCTCCAGAACTACCAGCCATCATGCCTTCAGAGCTGCCAGCCATCATGCCTCCAGAACTACCAGCCATCATGCCTTCAGAGCTGCCAGCCATCATGCCTCCAGAACTACCAGCCATCATGCCTTCAGAGCTGCCAGCCATCATGCCTCCAGAACTACCAGCCATCATGCCTTCAGAGCTGCCAGCCATCATGCCTCCAGAACTACCAGCCATCATGCCTTCAGAGCTGCCAGCCATCATGCCTCCAGAGCTGCTAGCCATCATGCCTCCAGAGCTGCCAGCCGTCATGCCTCCAGAGCTGCCAGCCGTCATGCCTCCAGAGCTGCCAGCCGTCATGTCTCCACGTCGGTTTTCGCCACTGCCTCCGCCTCCATCGCCCGCACTTTGAGGAACAAATTTTCCGATGGTCTCACTCTTGTAGTCAGTTATTCGTTCAAGACGGTTTCCAGCACAATTAAGCATCGTGTTGTCAGCGAAAGCCGAAAAGTCGCCGATAATTTTCTGCAAGCCTTCTTTAACAATAATTTCAGAGCGGTTTGGTCCGTCCACAGCGGTCCCCGCTGGACCGCGTCGAGTATTTCCCGCTGGACCATGTCGAGCAATACCCGCTGGACCGTGTCGAGTGTCTAGCGATACCCATTGGTCCGCTATGTCTAGCGATACCCATTGGTCCGCTATGTCTAGCGATACCCATTAGCCCGTTATGTCTAGCGGTATCCACTGGCCAGCTATGTCTAGCGATACCCATTGGCCCGCTACGTCTAGCGATACCCATTGGTCCGCTATGTCTAGCAATACCCATTGGCCCGCTATGTCTAGCGATACCCATTGGCCCGTTATGCCTAGCGGTACCCACTGGCCCGCTATGTCTAGCGATACCCATTGGCCCGCTACGTCTAGCGATACCCATTGGCCCGCTATGTCTAGCGATACCCATTGGCCCGCTATGTCCAGCGATACCCATTGGTCCGCTATGATTAGCGATACCCATTGGCCCGCTATATCTAACGATACCCATTGGCCCGCTATGTCTAGCGATCTCCACCGGGCCACCGATACCCATTGAACCACTGCGTCCAGCGATAGCCACTGGCCCCACTGGACTACCGTGCCTAGTGATACCCAAAGGACTGGCGGCTATTCTCACTGGCCCGCCGTGTCTAGAGATACCCATTGAACCACCGTGTCTAGTGATACCCATTGAACCACCGTGCCCAGCGATACCCATTGAACTCTCTCCACAGCTGCCCTCAGACATTTCTCCACCACTTTCAACGGTGCTCTTCTCAGGTTTGCATCTCGCATGTATGGCATTTCTATTTGAACTACCTCTGTCCAAAACTTCCAAGTTGTTTCCAACCGTTTTCTTTCGACTGTTTCCCGATTGCACGTTCTGATTATCATTAATGCCATTGCTATTCGTGGCATCACTTGCGTTGGCACTGGGGGCATGAACACTTGAGTGATTAGTGGTCACCTCTTGAGAGTATATTTCAAGGTAGGTCATTCTCTTAGAGCGGTTATCGTCACTATCCTCTCGGCTACTTTCAGAGGGTGAGCAGCCAGGACTGGTATCTTCACTGTACACATGATTGTCCGTTGCTATATCATCACGGCTGTCTTGGGATTCATCCGATACCGTGGTTCTGTCGAGGTTCTCGTTGTTACCGACGTTCTCAAGAGGTTCATTCTGCGCTTGCTCATTTTGGAATGTGTTTTGACGGTCGAGTCGTCTCGAATGTTTCGTTTCGGCTTGTGAGAAGGCGATGACTTCCTCAATTGACGTCCAGGCTTTGATATTATTCCTGCATTTGATGCACGACCTACAAAGTTTTTACGGTTGGAGTTAATGAATACGGCATTGTTGATAGTAAATTGAAAATAAATTAAAACTTGGCGTGGAATCAAAAAGTGCATAATTTCAAAGATCGACCTGCAGAGTAAAATTGGGCATTTTAAATTAGAAAACCAAGAAATGCAAATGAAGTTAAAATTCATCAGATATTTCCGCTCCAGATTTTCAAGTCAATAATGATAGTCAGATTATACAAAAATTTACTTACAAATTATTTTCCACAATAGCTGAGATGCAGTCCTTGCAAACGAAGCCGCAACAGTTTGTGATACACATTTGAGCGGGGTCATTGCAAAGCCATGAGCAACACGAGCATTTTTTATGTCTTTCGTTGGACGGAATTTCGAGATCTCTTCCACCGAGTCGTCGAATGGCATCCCATATATAAATGCACCAATTTACGTCACCAATCTCAGATTCATGTGGTATGTTCTTTTTGACGAACTCGCTGATTGTTTCGTGTGCATCTTTCACTTTATTGATAATCTCGAGCACGCATCTCGTTATAGTTGCAATACTGAAAAGGTGAGGAGCGGTTTGTTCATCAGAAAAGTTGAATTTTGTCAGATAGAGTTCCATGAAGTAACAAATGGCGTGTGAGATAAGAGACATTTTCATACAATTTTCATAAAAATAGCTATGGTTTTCCACGTGGCAGTACATTGACTTTTTATACAGGGATTTTGAAAAGTGGCGCAAAATCATCATTATTTGCAAGAAGTCGTCTTTCAATCCTGTCGAGTATCGTTCTTGTACGAACAATTCGAAAACAATCGCCAATAAATACTCGAGCTCTTCGAAGTATGACAAATTAGAGGTTTCAATGAAGTCCTCTTGTTTTTGCAGCCAGTTACTGATGGCAACTGCATCATCCTGATTTGGTGGCAAGTTTCCAATATTGTTGATGGCAGCCAAGCAGTAGTACGTAGCAGCAAGGCATTCTCGGGACGCAAACAGCCGATAGCCTGAGTAGTGCTGATACGGCAGACGTATGAAGAATTTGGCTCGAGTAACTCGCTTCATCAGGATTCTGGCTTCTGGTATCCTATGGAAAATTTTGTATAGCTTGGCAAATGGCTCTTATTGTAAATTACATAGTTTGGATATTTATTGTGTGTGATTTCTTTTGACGTCAGTCAGAAACAGCGATTACATCGAAAAATTTAAACAATAGAGGTTTTTAATTTGAAACTTTGATCAATTTTTAACGCTATTTACAGATGCTAATAATAATTTTGCTGTAAGTTAACCCGTACTTATGAAGTTACTGCAATATTTTACACTTTGGGATGAAGTACCTTCAAGGTCTTGGAAAATTGAACTAATGAAATTTAATTTTTTATAAAATTTAAGATCGATATAATAAAGATAAGTGTATTCAGCATATATGAAAGAATTTTGATACTATAGTTCAATAAACCCATTTAACGGAGTACATAAATAATAAATTTCTTCTTTTAATTTACTAATTACCTATATCAGCGACTACTTAAAAAACCAAAAATAAAAATAAGAAAATTTCGAGATATTCATAATATTCTCAAAGAAAATTAGCTGAGAAGCATTTCCAATAGATTCATAGTTGATTTTCTTCTAGTTTCCTTTTATTTTGAATTCCTATTCAATCGGGATTCAAACAAACCAATAATCTAAATGTTGAAGAAATTTAAGTCACATCTCATATACAAACTCAGCCTATTTTCTTGCTGCAATATTTTATATGAATTGAAATTTTGATTCTGCAATCCAACTAAAAGAGCTCAGAATTATTAAAAACTATGAAAATTTCCATTCATTTAAAGCCTTTGCTAACCAAGTGTGTATCCAAAATTGCTTTTGAACTCTAACAAAGAACTTTTTTCTTCTATTTTTTTTTTTAACCATACTTGACTGCCTTGCCAGAATCGTTGGATCAGTGAATCATTTCTACGTTATTTCTTATGACTATTGAACGGGATAATTTCTCACGACTACGGACGTTTTCTTGCGGCAGGAGTCCCTCCATGACGTAGCAAAAGCGCGCGGGTCGTGAGCGCCGGTGAACAGCGGGATTTTCACCACCGCCCTGAGGAATTTTTTATTATAAAAATTTTACGAAATTTAGGAAAAATTAAAAAAGTGGCAAGAGAGCCAGTGACGAAATTGAGTGAGTGACGAAAGGAAGTGAGTGGTGAAAGAGAGTGAGTGGCAAAGGGAGTGAGTGGCGAAAGGGAGTGAGTGGCGAAAGGGAGTGAGTGTCGAAAAGGAGTGAGTGGCGAAAGGGAGTGACTGGCGAAAGCGAGTGAGTGGCGAAAAGGAGGTAGTGGCGAAAGGGAGGTAGTGGCGAAAGGGAGTGAGTGGTGAAAGGGAGTGAGTAGCGGAAGGGAGTGAGTGGTGAAAGGGAATGAGTAGCGGAAGGAAGTGAGTGGCGGAAGGGAGTGAGTGGTAGATTTCTTTGATTGTTTTCGTCGGAAAATTCAGCACCAAAATATAAAACTTTGTAGAAAATATAATAAATGCATTTTCTCGAGTTTTGATGCTTAGAACGATTTCTCGAATGATTCAACACGTATTCATTCACGCCTTCCAGTTTATGTGAATGTGTAAGGATTTACACGGTCGAGTTTCGATTCAAAGGTTTATTTAATAAATTCAGAACAATTAAAATTGGCTGGGTGCAGCAACGGCGCTTTCAGTAATAGCCACGATGCTTCATAAGGTTTTCACTCATTTATTTATTTATCCTCGATGAAGTAAAATTCAGTAAGCAATGGCAATGAAATCGAAAGGGTGAGTGGCGAGATGGTGAGTTGCGATATAGCGATATTCACGTGATTGGGTGAAACTTCCACAAGCCTATTTTCAGAACACCTCTTTAAACGGTTATAGATGAATGAACGACTTTCCAACTTTTATAGTCGAAATTCAAGTTTTTTAGATTAAATTCTATTGGTAACCATGTGACTGAATTTGTTAGAGAAAAAGTAAGACATGATATTAGTAAAAATTAATGGTTCATTATGATTCTACCATCTGAACACATCGTATAAAACGAAATTCTAATATATATATTCCGGTGACAAGACAATCTTTAGTAACTTTTTTGAATTTGTGGAACTCAGGAAAAGATTTCTTTGATTGCTCTCCGTCGGAAAATTCAGCACTAAAATAGAAATTTTTGTAGAAAATACAATAACTGCATTTTCTCGAGTTTTGATGCTTAGAACGATTTCTCGAATAATTCAACATGTATTCATTCACGCCTTCCAGTTTTATGTGAATAATTTGCAATTCGGTGTTCTAGTCCGTGGCTGAATCAAAATTTAACAAGATGTTGCGAAAGTTTTTGTTACGTTTAATCAAGGAGGAGGTTATTTGAATGTGAATTAAAGCACATCAATCTACTTCAACATAAGTTTCATATAATTTCACTACAATTACTTCGCAAAAAATCATTAAACTCATCTTATTTGAGGGAAAATTGTCAAAACGAACATTATGCTCAGTTTTACTTACTCTTCAATTGGGAAGACGCTGTGCTTCAGAAACTGGAGCATTGTCGGCAATTTTTTGGCAGATGGACGAGAATAATTTGCGCTGACAGTTACAATTCTGAATTTCCAGCAGTTGTACAAAACCAAGCTGCATGCGCAGTTTCAAAACCTATTTTCCAACGACTGCACAAAACCAATCAGTGTGGCTAGCTCCGAATTTTGTGAGATACAAGAAAAAGCGTTCCTTTTTCAATAGGAAAATAACATTCCTTTTCAACCAGAAAATAAAGTTCCTTTTTCGAATCTTGGCGGCAATTTATCAGAAATCTAGTAATACTATGCTAAATATTTATCATGTAAGGTTACGCATAATATCAACGCAAGTTTCAAGACGTAGAGAGGACAAAGCGAACTGCCGTTACGGTAAAGGCGATCCAAATACAGGTCATCTTTTTCGGACGTTGATATAATAGCAATCACAGTGAAAATTGACACAACCAATAAAAAATAAAATTAAATCTTGAAAGAAGAACACAAGATTAAAAGTATTGCCAACTTTACAATTCTGAGACTCACATATATAACTATTCAATTCCCTTAATATTCTAGTTGGTATAATGATATATTAGATGGCCTTATCATGGTGCTATAGGTCATGAACTAAAAGCCACAAAACAAATAAATTGCAAAACTCATTGACAGAATATCATACATATCAGCCAAGCCAAATATCCGTTTCCATTCAAAAAATAAACTCCACTCTCTTACTGGCACCTGTTTTTTTCAAAGAAAAATTAATGAATCTCGTGTGATGAGTAAAAAAATATTTGATTTTCTCATCTAAAGATTTCGCAGTGAATATTCTTGTTCGAAGTTTAGAACGAATATTGGAATCTTTGCGTTTGAGTTTTGTGTTTAAATATTTACGGGAAACCGAAAATTTTCGAGTAATGAGTGAGAGTATAGAAGAGCAAAATTCCGTTAAAAAACTAATCCAGTATAGTCGTTAATTCTATTAAATTTCATTAAATTCGATTTGATTATATAAACTTGATCAAACATTCGTCTGTTGTCGTATAGCTCTCGTTTCCAGGCAGCCACGGGTTTCATGTACAAGGGTTAACGAAGGATTGACCTTTCCTTTACTGCAGGCATATGCCGTTACCAGGCCATATACTTTCAAAATTCGCTAAGTGAGCGTAAGTACTTACGCTCTATTTTCCTGTCTTTGGTGGATTTTGCTTGAAAGGCCGTCAATGATAGGATGACGAACTTACGATTTCTTAACTTTTTTTGAAAGTATAGGCCCAGGTCCTTGGAACAAAATAATATTCTATAGAATTACCGTCTTGTGGTAACAAATTCTCCAATAGCGAATGATCGCATTTGTAGTAATCAAACGGAGGGGCATCCGACGTATAAAAACGGTGGCGCTACTGTCGCATTTCAAAGCACATAAACGCGTTTCATTATCCCGAATGGGTGCAAATTTGTCGGCTTCTGCGTAAATCTTGCAGGACTAGGCACAGATCTCGTGTGATGAGTTCAGAGCAAGAATTTGATCGACGACATTTCATTTTGCTATGCAGGTCAGCAGCATTTTGCTGCACTTCATCTGCATGAAAAACTACAGAGGTAACTGATGAGAACGCTTTGGGAAAAGAATGATAACGTGCGTTAATGGTGCCAGAACAGTTACTGTGTAGCTGAGGCAATCATTTACGCAGTGAAAACCGATGGTGAACATTACCGATGAAAATGCTGTGAGTAAATAATGAACGCGGGAATCCTATAATTGCCTGCGTGAGAACAGATAATAAACGCTCAGTATACAACTTATAAATTCCAATGGCGCAGAGGGCGAGAACAGGTGCTATTCAGCTGATACATTCCTTTGATGCAGTTCATCAGATGCTCAACGATTGAATTTTTTACAGAATTTTACAGACTGTCACCAATCATCTGAATGAAGCAGAAATTTAAAAATTGTGAGATTACAGCGCTTGAAAGAAATTCCAATTGATTGGTCATCAGNCACATCTCTTACGCACGCACATCTCTTACGCACACACATCTCTTACGCACGCACATCTCTTACGCACGCACATCTCTTAAGCACACACATCTCTTAAGCACGCACATCTCTTACGCACACACATCTCTTACGCCGCACATCTCTTACGCACGCACATCTCTTACGCACACACATCTCTTACGCACGCACATCTCTTACGCACGCACATTTCTTATCAATTCAAAGTTTTAATGGTCAGCTTTCGCTATGGCAAACCACAGACATAATTTTAGGTATACCTAACTAAAGATGCAGGATAAATACCGGCCAAAGTTTGTGTAAATAAAGCATAGTGAATGGACAGGCCAAAATTGTGTTGTATTATAGATCCAGTAAATGACGAAGGCAAGCACCCGGTTAATTTCGCAAGTCAATTAGAATTTATTCCTAATATAAATTGTATCTCAGAGAATCTGTTTGATCGAATCAGCTTGACGAGACCTAGTTGAAAACAACTTCAACTTGAGGTCACAAATACTGCACCTCAAAGATCCCTGAAGCAAGATCCTGAAGCAAGATCCTAATTTCTTTAGCAAAACTCGATCAAAAAGGACAAGGATTAGCGCACCTAAGAAAGTGAAATATGGGAATTCAGCAAACAAGCTTTAATTTCATGTAACCTCCCGGAAGAAAATAGATACTTTGGCAGATCGAATGATCTTGTATTGATAAATATGGCAAGAAAATTGTCCGAAACTATGCCCCAATAGCCACCACAGCATCTTTCAAATATTTGTAATATGAACATTTCTTGCATTTAACTACACTACTGAAAGTGTAATCATTAGTATACATTGCTTCGTCATGACGTCGAATTACTGAAATGTCAAAGTTGGCATTAAAAAAGCTAACGATTTTCCAGCCCTAAATCTACTATGAAATAGATATATGAATTCCCTATTATGAAGAAAATGATGTAACTACCGTTAAGATTGAGCATCTGCAACTCCAACAGTATTTTATATTAGGTAAAGAACCCAACACACTTTCATTTTATTACATTCCCCGCATGACCAACTCCAACCAAGACAAAACCAGTCGTCACTCCAGGCCACGGATTTGGGGCCATACTTTCATAAATCGATAAGTCAACGTAAGTACTTACGCTCTATTTTCTAGTCCATGATTGGTGGATTTTACTTAAAAGGCCGTTAATGATTAGTTCATGAGCATACGATCTTTTAACTTTTTTTGAAAGTATGGGCCCTGGATTCGGATACCAACATCGTCGTAGTAACTCTGGCAACGCTGCGTTAAAATCTCAAAAATCATTTACACTCTAACCTCGAGACTTCCAGCACTCATTTCGTTACTTACTCTTAGCCGCAATATCTTTCGATTGAACACCATAGGAAACACTTATTTGAAGTAACCTTGCGTAAGCTACTTTCAAACTGAGACGTACCACAAACAGAAAATTTTAGTACAACACGAAATAAGCTGTCAGAAATACTAGGGACAACCGGCGGGCTATAGCCTCCATGTTTCACGTCTGAAGAATAACGTCATCCATCGACTAGATCTTCGTCGTGCAGCGTCTGAACGTAAACCAGCAATGCAGTAACAAAATGACAGATGAACTTGTTATCATCGTGACCATCATTTACTTGCAACACTCAATAAACACTGTACAAAAAATATCCGGTCATGACATCGTGGATAAAAATGAATTTTCCTTTTAAGCAACTTATGATAAGGCGGGGGAAAGTTTGCTCGTAAAGGCTCTGTTGCCGGGCTATGAGCCCCTGCCATTTATTGGCTCTGTTGCCGGGCTATGAGCCCCTGCCATTTATTGGCTCTGTTGCCGGGCTATGAGCCCCAGCCATTTATTGGCTCTGTTGCTAAATATGGCAAGAAAATTGTCCGAAACTATGCCCCAATAGCCACCACAGCATCTTTCAAATATTTGTAATATGAACATTTCTTGCATTTAACTACGCTACTAAACTGAAAGTGTAATCATTAGTACAATGCTTCGTCACGTCGTCGAAGTACTGAAATATCAAGGTTAGGGTGAAGAAAAGCTGACGAATTATAAAAAATTACTAAACTAAAACTGAAAATTATGGAATTGCCGTTAAGATTGAGCATCAGCAACTACCAAAGGAATTTTATACTAGGTAAAGAACCGAGCGCATTTTCATCTTATTACATTCCACGCATGACATACTCAAACCAAGACAAAACCAGTCACCGTAGCCACAAATTTGTATTCGGATACTAACATCGTCGTAGTAACTCGAGCAACGTTGCATTAAAATCTCAAAAATCATTTACACTTTAACCTCGAGACTTCCAGCACTTATTTCGTTACTTACTCTTAGCCGCAATATCTTTCGATTGAAAACCTCAGGAAATACTTATTTGAAGTAACCTTGCGTAAGCTACTTTCAAACTGAGACGTACCACAAACATAAATCTTTAGTACAACACGAAATAAGATGTAAGAAATACTAGGGACAACCGGCGAGCTAGGGCCTCCATGTTTCACGTCTGAAGAATAACGTCATCCATTGACTAGATCTTCGTCGTGCAGCGTCTAAACGTAAACCAGCAATGCAGCAACAAAATGACAGATAAGCTTGTTATCATCGTGACCATCATTTACTTGCAACACTCAATAAACACTGTACAAAAAATATCCGGTCACGGCATTGTGGATAGAAATGAATTTTTCTTTAAAGCAACTTATGATAAGGCGGGGGAAAGTTTGCTCGTAAAGGCTCTGTTGCCGAGTTATGAACCATTGCAATATACTGGCTCTGTTGCCGGGCTTGAGTCCCTGCCATTTACTGGCTCTGTTGCCGGGCTTGAGTCCCTGCCATTTATTGGCTCTGTTGCCGGGCTATGATCCCTTGCCATTTATTGGCTCTATTGCCGGGCTATGAGCCCCTGCCATTTATTGGCTCTGTTGCCGGGCTATGAGCCCCTGCCATTTATTGGCTCTGTTGCCGGGCTATGAGCCCCTGCCATTTATCCCCTGCCATTTATTGGTTCTGTTGCCGGGCTATGAGCCCCTGCCATTTATTGGTTCTGTTGCCGGGCTATATATGAGCCCCTGCCATTTATTGGCTCTGTTGCCGGGCTATGAGTCCCTGCCATTTATTGGCTCTGTTGGCGGGCTATGAGTCCCTGCCATTTATTGGCTCTGTTTCCGGGTTATGAGCCCCTGCCATTTATTGGCTCTGTCGCCGGGCTATGAGCCCCTGCCATTTGTGGCTCTGTCGCCGGGCTATGAACCCCTGCCATTTATTAACTCTGTTGCCGGGCTGTGAACCCCTGCCATTTATAAACTCTGTTGCCGGGCTGTGAACCCCTGCCATTTTTTTGTTCTATGGCTGGGATATGAACCCCATGAACCCCGAAGTTTTACCCCATTTTCCATTGATGATAACTCTCATTAGCAGACTTTCAGGGGCGAATAGCATTGAGGACGGTTAATGTAGTATATGCATGCAATAAATG